TCTATGTGCGCGAATTTAAATTTATATTTATGAATTACATATTTGTATTCATAAAACCTTTATTTATATTCTTAAAATCGTTATTTGTATTTGTAAAACTTCCATTTGTATTCGTAATAACCTACATTTGTATTCATAAACCTCCATTTGTATTCGTAATGCAAATTTGCATTTGGTTTTGTGAAATTTGCATTTATATTCGTAAAATCTATATTTGTATTCGTGATTCATCTATTTGTATTTATAAAAAACGTGATAAGTGAGCATAGAGGGCGCTATGTATACAATACAAATGTGTATTTGTATTGGTGAAACTTCCATTTATATTAGTCAACCTCTATTTGCGTTCGTTGCATCATGTTTATATGCGCCGAGTGAACGCAGAGGGCACTCTTTGTCATTGACTTCGATTCAACACATAGATTGTAACAACAGCATGGCGGCAAGTGTTAACTCGCATTGGGTGCTTTGCCAAGCAAACGGAAGTGATCCAGTGAATGTGCCTTTGCGGGACGGTGTTTTACACCGTTCCATCCTGGTCTCTCAGTTCCCAGGCGCAACAGGTTTGCGCTATATGATCGAAAATGCTCAAATGGCTTATGACGCAATAAATGACAGTTTTTTGGCGCCGGAAGGAGGTTGGGCGAGCAGAACATACACAGTAGTTTCCTCAGTTGATCAGTTGGTTGATCAACCAAAACAATCGGGTGTTATTGGTGAGTATAGTTTGTAATGTACAAAACTGGATCTTGAACAGTAAATATTTTGAGAATTTGGAGATTTTGGAGTTCTTTCTCAATATGATTTCATTTTGAGCAATGGATGGCTATAAAAAGAATTTCGAGTTTCCGGGCATCATTCCTTGTTGCCATGAAAAAAGATTTAACATTTTGTAATTATATCAGCTGTTATTGTTTCACGGCATTCTAGAATCAAAGTACATATATAAAATATTGTTATTGTTTTTTTTAATTATCTCTTGTCACTGTTAGTATCATATGTAGTTCTGTTCAACTTAAACGTATCTCCTGGGGAGGGGGGGGGGGGCTACTTCCACATTAAGTGGGTAAGGGTGTGAAGTCCACCCTCTCGAAAACCATACTCACGTCTAAACTTTTTTTTCCTATTTATATACCCACTTCACAAGTGTTTTCAGCGAAAAAAACAAAACACCCAGCTCACAACTTTCGCAACCAGTGAGGGCATCAGGGCAATGCATTTTATTCAGCCTTTTCCAGTATTTGGCTTTGAATATAAGAATCTGTGAAAAAGTAAATCAATGTTACACATTTCTAAACACATTTCTTTAAAGAAAGCGATCCATGCATCTGCGGTCAGTGTCTCGTGATCTTCTGCCATCTTTATTACAAGCAGTAGTAGCGCCCCCACGCTTACAAGACACGAGTAAGTGAATGGCGATTTTACAAGTACAAATGAAAGTTTAACGAATAGAAATGGGCATTTTACAAACACAAATGGAGATTTTGTTAGAAATGAAAAAAAAGTAGTTTCACGAATACAAATAGAGATTTCACTTACACAAACAGATTTTACGATTACAAATGTAGGTTTTATGAACACAAATAAAAATTTTAAGTAGAAATAGAAAATGTAATTTCAGAAATTTCAAGAATACAAATAGCGATTTCAAGAATATAAATAAAGGTTTTATGAAGACAAATATGTAATTCATAAATTTAAATTTAAATTCTCGCACATAAATATTTTTCATGAATATTGCAACACTTGGCCTTCCATAGTGCTAGGACTTCAGTGACTAAATTGTACAGCAGCACAGTGCCCTCGACGGAATGTTACCGCCAAATATGAGAGTCTCTCATCACTTGTTTAGAGTGAAGCGAATAACTCATACATTTGGCGCCAAAAGAACTGTTGACATCTGACGATCGATTCTCTGCAGTCTCTCGCCTGAGAAACTTTCTAGCTCAAAACTCCCAGATTAAGTTGATTGTTATTTTACATTTACATTGAAATTCTTATATCCAATCATATTACGTAACTATTCACATTGCAAAGGTTTTCTGAAGTTGTCAGTATTTCAGGTAAGTTAAATATATATTTTTATTGAGCTAACACTTCGAATGTGAACCACCATTTACCATATTTCTTCACGATTATGCCAAAATATGTTGCCGTAATATATTCTGGTAACTGTTCTGCCACACAATATTTAATACAAACTGTTGAATTTAATTATCAGTCGCGATTGAAAACGTATCTAGTTGAATTTAACTGTCAACTGTTTCTGTCACAGATATGTTAGATTTGTCACGTCCGTCATGATTAAAACTGAGTGTCGTGCGACACGATTACAATTGTGTTAGTTTTTCTGTCACAGAACATTTTTACGCGAGAGTTGTTTTTATATATCAGTAGCGATTAAAAACAAATTTAGTTGAAAGTATTTAGTTTTAACACGGAATAATACATCTGTTACGTATTTAGTTAGCTAATGCAATACTGCCCTCAGTCGGTGAGATGTTCGTCAATCCATCACCCCATCGATATATTTGTCCCTGCGCTCTGGATGTCTGTCAGTATTGAGGTCCGGAGCGAGGTGGATATAACGTTCGTATAGTCTCGCAGTATCCATCTCATCCGATTGTGGGATAATAGACTTTTACGTAGACAAAATATATAAGTGTATTTAATTAATACAACTTCATACTTAACACTATGTCATATTCTATCATGTTGAAATAACATGCAGAGGTTAGTTTATTAAGGTTTACTCACCTTATTCTATGTCGTACAGTATGCACTAATGTAAATATTTATGCATATTGCATTATTACTTTTATTTTCTCTTTAGTTCCTACTCAGCTTTCATAATATATTACTTGTCTAACATGTTTCATCGCACCAATTTAAGGTACAACTATAATATAATATGGTAGTGTTTATTTAACAACGGGCAACCATAACCCTCGTTAAACATACCTTAAACCAACCTAACCCTACCCCACTTCTAATATAACTCAAGTGTTAATTGCATATTGTTAATTACTTTATTATTTCTTATATGAGTAAAACTATATTATGGTGAACCACTATATCACTACTAGTTTGTTATCCTACGCAATACGTACAATATGCGACTTTGTTTTATTATTATTATTTTTAAATATTGCATTTCGCTGTTTTCATATGCTCCTCTATGAGGGTTATGCGTTAATATATTCATCAACGGATCAATCTGCACCTACTTCGATTCTC